TATTTTACAGCTGAATAAAAATTTTAGCTATAATTGAAAATAATTTATGTAAGTTGATCTTGTCTAAATTCTATTTTGTGGAGTTTTTATACTACCAACCAGAGCAGGGGTCAGCAAACTATAGTCAGGACCAGTGTGGACTGTCGTTGCCTGTTTTTACGAAAAAAATTTTATTTAAACACTTCTATACCTCATTCATTTTTATATCATCTATTTGTACTCTGGCAGTATCATGGTGGAATTGAGTACTTACAACAGAAATTGTCTGACCCATAATGCATAAAATATTACTACTGTCTAGACCTTTATAGAAAAAAGTTTGCTGGCTCCTAACCTAGCCCATAAAATTCTCTCAGTAATTAAAGTTTGACATATTTTAACACACAGCAATTTTCTTTGGATCATATTTGCTGTAGAACGATTTAAAATGTAGCTATTAGATTTCACTTGTATAAAATAGATGGAATGAACTGAAGCTTGGATTATGATGTTGGGGAAAGGTTATTTTTAGGATGTAGTTCTTTCAAAAAAAAAAAAGTGCTATAAATCGTATTATTCATAGAAATAGACTTTGTGAGCTGAAGAGATGTAGTTGTCATTTAATCCAAGGAGATTTCAGCCCTCGTGATACTTCAGATTTTCTGAAGTGCTTTTTGGTGCTTGGACCTCATTCCCAGAGATTTTGTTTCATTTAGTTAGGGGTGTGGGACTCAGGTTTTGGTACTTTGAAAGCATCACAGATCATTCTAATGTGCATCCATTTACCCATTGATCTTGTCCCACCCACTCATTTTATAAATAAGGCAACAAGGGTGCAAAGAGGATATGATTTGTCCAAGTACACACAGATATTCAGTGGGATTCAGTTCTGATGTCTCTGTAATTAAGTAATTCCTCTATATCAGTCTCTGTTCTCCAGCCTAGACCAGGGGTTGGCAGACTTTTTTCCATAAACAGTTAAGTTAGTAAACATTTAGGATTTGTGGACCATATGACTTTTACCCTAGACTATTTATTGGCAGAAACCACATAATTTCCATTTCTTGCTATTTCTAGTGGTGCTCACTGAAAGTTATTTATTTGGGAGGCATAGTATGTGTGGAAGGGAGACTATACACAGAACATTGCCACATTATGATCAAGAGACTAGTGGGCTGCTAATGAAATGGCATCTTCAGGCCTTAAGGTTGTTTTGTCTCCTGAGCAATCATTAAGGATCTGTTTGCTTCCAGACTCCATTAAAAGATATGTTTATATAGATCTCAGGTGCTAGGATGAAAAGACAGCTATTCTTCTTTTTGTTTTTGCTCACAGTTTTAATTGAATAGATATTTTCAGTATAAAGAAGTTGAGTCCATCTGTTTCTCAAAAAATTTATAGCAAAAATTTATGTTAAAAAGTTTTAAGGAAGTTTTATATATAGGATAGGAATTTTATGACATTCAATATTTTTTATGAATTGATTTCAGTATCAGATGTTCCCATGAGTAAAATGCTAAAACCAGGCTTGCTCTTAATTGTATCAGGGTCTTTACTCTGAGTAAAAGTTAGTTTTTTTTTTTTCAAATTATTATCTTTGTATTTCTGATCCCACTAATCCTATTAACTTGAATTTGATTGAGAGATATGGAAATAGTCAACTAAATACTTGGAAACTCTAAGAGGTGATGGTGGTGATGGTAGTAACTCTGGACCATCTTTGATACGTTGATTTGCCAGTTCCCTCTGTGACCTTTTCCAGTTTTGTTCATGGACTATGTCATAAAGGTTTCTTTCATGAGTAAATTTTGAACCCAGGTTTCAAGGTGAGTTCAGAATATACTCAAATTCATTCAATCCTTTTTTTTTTTTTTGTTAAATGCAGGGTTGTACATATTTTAATAATTTTCTTATGTATCTGGTATTTAATGCTGACAGGATTCCAGTCAATGGAGAGGTTTCATTGCAAGTAGCTGCAGGTGTGTTTCATGGTAGAGATAAAAGTTTTCAGTGAAGCAGACTTTTCTTTTAAAAACCATTACATCCTAGTAAATAATACAGATGTTGCTTTTTATGGGACAATATGGTATGCTTTTTATTTGTCATGCTGTGCTGTTGCTAAGTCAAAATTTTGAGTTAGAAGGGCAAAACTAACAGATACCAAATCTAAAAGAAATGAAAGATTTTAAGGATTCTGAAAATGATACTTAGTATATTGACTTAGTTTTTAATAAATGTTAAAGCATCTCAGTGCAGTAAATGTATTTGTATTGTTTCATTTTAAAATATTCATTCTTTGCAATGTGTTCTTACTTGGTACTCTTGTTAAGTTTCTCAAAACTTAGTTAATGACGATTTAGCTTTTGCATTATTGGTTTTCCTAGAAAGTATAATAATTTTTTCATTTGTTATTTGAGCATCTCCTTTATTCTAGGAATTATGCTAGAACAGAAATTTGCTCTCAGGAATCACATAACATCGAAGCATTTATAATGAAGATACATGTATAGTGGTGACATCTATAAATAGTGGTTTCAGTTTAAGATTACAGGGCTTAAAAATTGTAGAAAATACCTTTTTGAGAAGTACTTGGTCTTGAAGTAATATGATGTGATGGAATCTACCACCTTACTTGTTACATAAATATTTGTTAAATTTCTCATCAGTTTTGCTCCATATCATTAAGACTAATTCTTTAGAAAACTTTCATTCAAAGAGAAATAAGATGTTATTTATTTTGCCTTTTCAGCCAGCTATAGTCAGCAGAGTGGACCCCAGCAACCTCAACAGTTCCAGGGCTATGGCCAGCAACCAACTTCACAGGCCCCGGCTCCTGCCTTTTCTGGTCAGCCTCAACAACTGCCTGCTCAGCCACCTCAGCAGTACCAGGCGAGCAACTATCCTGCACAAACTTATACTACCCAAACTTCTCAGCCTGCCAATTATACGGGGGCCCCTGCCTCTCAACCTGGAATGGCTCCAAGCCAACCTGGGGCCTATCAGCCAAGACCAGGTTTTACTCCAGTGCCTGGAAGTACCATGACCACTCTTCCTCCAAGTGGGCCCAACCCTTATGCACGTAACCGTCCTCCCTTTGGTCAGGGCTATACCCAACCCGGACCTGGTTATCGATAAGGAGGCTCGGCTACATTGATATATGTAGCTGCTAGCTATTTCCCTCCCGAAAGACTCCAATACTATTTTAATTTGTATTGCAGTTCAGAAATTTAAAAAGCAGAGCATTTTTTATGATATCATTGTTGCTGTTAATTGAAAGTATAATTTGCTGGAACATAGACCAAAATGAAAGTTTTTTCCTCCCTGCTTAAAGATGTAGCAGCTTCCTAGTTATTTTGAAACACTACTCTTACATGTGTGTAAAGTGATTGATTTTCTAGCTTCTATTGTCCAGAGAATATTATAATGCTAGGTTGAGGTTTAGCCTTCTTACTTGGCTTTTTACTATTAACATGATGTACTAAAATAGAACCCTTTGAAAGGACTAGATATTATGTATAAAATGTAACATTGATAGGTTAATAAATATGATTGAATCCATTAGTGGTCTTGAATTGTAGTCATTAACATCATACATTTATGTAAAAAAGTACAAAAGTTCTTTCTGAAATCCTTATTGATATTTGGTCTTAAAAAGAAGTATAGACTTTCTCATTCAGAGAAACACAGTGCCATTTGGTTTTTAGCCTTCCTGATTTTGAAAGAAATGCATTTAACAATCGGTCTAAAGCAAACTTTGGACTTCACAGGAAGAAAGGTTAATTTATGATAGAAACACAATAGATACACTGTGAAAAGATAGAAAAGGAGTTTGTAGATCCTGAATCACTTTACGCTTTTCCTTCTTCGAGAGAGAAGAGGTTATATACTGATGAGCCATTCAGAAATAAAATACTCAGTCTTAAAAAATACTACATCTCTTTATTGCAGAATTTGTACTTATTTGAAAAATACAAAATGTTGCATTGATAAAATCAAAGCACTTGAAAGGGTAAGCACAGGAAAAGGTCCTTTCAGAAAGAGGGCAGCAAGCATTCCTATTTCCCTCCACCAGTGAAGGAAAACTACCTTTGTAAATGAAAATAAGTCAGGTTTTCATTACACATTGATTTAAACAGAGTTACAACAACATGCTCTGATACATTCATTCATAGAGGTCTTATGTATAAATACATATAGTAAATATCTTATAAAATGGTAAGGATCTCATCATGCATTATCTTTTTGTGCTCAGACTTCACATTCAGTCTCTACAGCTTAATCAGAATCACAAAAACAAGGTAATTGCTTAAAGGGATGGTTTGACAAAGAATATTTAAGACATTGTAACATAATTGCAGATGATTGAGAAATAACAGTGTATCTTCTGAAACTGAATACAGCAAATTCCCAACTTTTCTTTTTCTGAAGTGTAATTTTCTGATTCAAACAAAATCTTTGTAATAATTTGCAGATATTTCAAGAAAATGAATAGTAGCATGAATGTATAACTATTTAAACTCCTCAGAAAAGCTATTCAGCTGTTGCTAAAAAATTGAAGTTTAAATTAACATGAATATTAGGACCTTTTCTATGCTGAAGACAGTTTGATCCAATAAGTTAAACTAAGTTGAGACTTACGGAATTAACTCACCCATAGGAAGAATACACATCAATAAAAGTAAATATTTTTTAAAAAGTATAAGTTTTTGATGTTAATTTTGTTATAAAAGTATCTCAAAACATCATTACAACAATGTGATAAATAATATACAAATGATCTCTTAAAATACCATGAGTAGGGAGCCAGCTTCCCCAAAAATGTTATTCTGTTAATGTCAATCTCTTGCTTTCTTAAAATGATTTTGTAAAACCTGATAAATACTCTCAGCAATTTTTTCTAATAATAAACATCTAATATTGCTATTAATTAGATTGTAGACTTTTATACATAGTAAACAAAATAGCTTTAAATGAATGTGACAAATACCATGGTGTTTCCAATGATCTTTTTGCCATGTTGAAACAGAAGGTACTTCTGAGTGTGGGTATAGCATCTACCATTTTCCAGGAATTGTTGTCCCACATTCATACCACTGAACATAATTGATTTGGGTATGACCACCTATTTCTCCAAATTGGACAGGTTCCTGGCGAACGGCTCTGAAATAGCCTAAGAAGTAAAATACAGTTTAATTTAGAGAGCTGCCATATAATATTTTTGCCCTCATTGCCCATATATAGATAGAAGGATGGCATTGAAGAGCTAAGTTACTCTGGTGAAGGAAGGTACTTTAGAAAACTCCTAGCAGTAGAGGTCCTGATGTCTTGTGAGGTAGTAACGGCTGGTTAAAATCATGCACACCTAAAAACTTGTTAACATTTTCTGTAACAAATTAGGATGGGATGGTTGGTAGCATGAGAACAGTTTCAGCTGACACTAATAATTAAGTCATCTTTTCGTGTGGTTGGTATTTTTAAGTGCCAGTGAACAAAATGTGTTACTTTACCGAAAAATCCAATCAAATAGTTAGAAGTATTTAAAGAACACCTGCTGATATTTTGAGTAATACGGACAAGCCGCCCTCGTCACTCTGCTTAGCCAAGAACTTTCAGTCTTTTTCACTCACTACACAGCTTGGTGCTAATGGCACTTGAAGAGTTTATTTCTCAGCAGAATTTTTCCGTTTTAATTATATTCGTGCATTTATTAAAGGCATAAAAGGCAAATAATACTGTTTTTGACATTCATAGGAATAAAGGTTTCTGTTAAAAATTTTGAGGGAATAAAGTAAAAAACCAGAGGTGTACTCTCTGTGACAGAAAGCATGAAGGTAATTCATGAGTGACTTAAGTTTGGGGAATGTTGCCTTTTATATAGCCGCTTTTGCAAGTTCAGATTTTCTTGAAGTAGAATTCATTTATATAGGTCTATATAATTTCCCCTGGCTCTAAGTTTCTAACTCGAGGAATTTTCTCCTAGCCAGATAGGTACAGCAGTAGTGCCTTAGAATTCTTGTCAAGCTGATTGCTTTCCTCAGCTTGATTTCTTTCTGAGTTAATCTGTAAAACCGTGTTGCCTACGAGGAGGATCAGAAAACATACCTTCTTTGGTGGGTAACTGGTCAGAACTGAGTTGCTGTCCTGTGCGTCCATCTAAAAATGAATCCACAAACTGGCAATGATCTTCTCCATGGCCCCTCTGATCGCCTATGTTATAGAATTTTCCTGAAGAGCCAGAAATTAAAATGATAAATGATAGAATAGTGTTACTTTCTTATACTATGTTATCTTCCTTTCTTTAGTATAATAGTTCAGGAAAAATCAAATTGTTTCAAATAATCATCTTTCCTGTCTTTATACTTTCTTCTACCTATTCCTTATCCTAGTCCAAGTCAGCAATGTCTCTTCATTGAACTATGTGATAAGTCTTCCAGCTGGTGTCTCTGCTTTTATTCTTACCTCCCTATATTCCTCCTCTCCTCCCCTTCTCAGAGATTAGCACCGTTTTGAAATGGAAGTCAGATGATGTTTTCCATGCATCTTTTCAGCAGAGTCCTTACCTGCTTGCCTGTTTCTCTCCTTACTGAGTCTCAGCCATAATAGCGCAGCTGAGTACATGTGTTCTGCCTCAGTCCTTCACACTTTTTTTTCTCTTTACTTCTAAATGCTTTAAGCCTAGACCTTTTGCAGTTGTTTTCTTCTCAAATTTTCTTCTTAGCATAGTACTACCTTTTCAGAGAGCCCTTCCCTAACCATTCTAACTAAAGAGGCATCTAATCCTCTCCCATGCTCTCTGTTTTTAAAATTTTCTTGAAAGTACCTATCTGAAATTCCTATTTATGTGGAATTCCTATTTATGTCTATCTTTTGCTACTGTGAAAGCAAGAAATATCTTTTTTGTTGCTTTGCTCCAGCACCTGCAACAGTGTAATAAGGTAGATAAATGAAAGTATCTGTTGAATGACTAAACAGACATCTACCTTTCTGTGTTGGGGCCAACCTTATATATTTGTTTGTTAAAAAGTTTTACTGTATGAGTGAATATAGAAAATTATAACCTATTGGGTATGGAGCAAGGGCTTAGAGCCCTTCTAGCATCTTAAAGATGTCATATTCCTTCCATGATTACTGTTAAATTATTAGTAGGCCTTTGATCCTTGGATGATTGTAACAAAATTAAGCTTGAACATGCTTAGTTACTGGACATTGAGGTTTGCCATGGTGGCACTGTTTCAAATTACAATTTTATTATTTGCCTTCTAATAGCATGTCTTTTTTTTTTTTTTTTTTAATCTAATAGCATGTCTTAAATCTTTGTTTTCTCGGATAAGTATTTCAGTAACATCTTGCTCAGAGAAAAACTTGTATTTACATCACCCCTAGTGTCTGGAACTCTCCATAGAAAAGACGAATGCTGCAAAACATTCCCTGAAACCAAAGACTCAAGACTGGGCTGGTAGCCCTGCTTACCTGTGAGAGAGTCACTCAAATAAATCTTGTATCTGAGAGAGTTGCACAGCTGCACTCCTACAAATTTTTTATACCATGTCCTCTTGACATATTGTTTGCCCTTACATTCTGAGTAGGAGTCTGAATTAAAGGGTCTTTCAGTCCAGATGGCATCTCTTCCGGCTGCATAAGGAAAACACATGGTTTGAGTTCAGTGTCTGACTCCTGGGTACCAAAAAGGTGTCCTAAAAGCTTTAAAAAAGGAGTTTTTCAAGGATAGTTGGTCTTTTCCAGTGGTAAATATTGGAGCCAAGAAAATTGCAAAGGTTTAAACGTAAACTCCCCAAATATGTTTCTGTCAATAGTGAGATAAATCTCAAAGCAGTATGTTGAGGGGTGGAATAGCCTCTGCAGTGCTAGATGTAGGCAGTATCTTAGGAGCAAATTTAGGTGGGTTTTGGCAACATATTGTAAAATTTAAGCAGATGCTTTAATGTAACTTGTTATTAAAACTGGAAATGAAGACGTTATATCTTGACTTACTAACAAAAAATTTGAGTTGCCTTGCTATGTAAGTAAAAGGAACTTTCAGAATGTCCAATTTCTTTTCATAATACCAGATGCTGTCAGTGTTATTCAAAATGTTAGGTAAACATTCACACTTGATTGATAATCCAAGAAGATCACATGGAAACAAGTGAAATCATGGCCCAAATTCTGCCATCCCTGTTTACTTGAATCAGTTTAGAGAAGCATGTGGTTGTATTCCTATTGAGACAGGTACTTACCAGAAACTGGCTCACTCACTCTTGGGTCGGCTGAGGAGAAATAACACAAAAGTTAGATGTTAATTAGGTAAAGTTCAGACATTCCAGGGGCATGGTTGAAGATGGATGCTTAAGGCTGGTAAGAACTCTTATTTGCAAAATGGTACACTCTTTTCCCAAAGACAGAATTTGAAAGTTTTGTTTTGGAAATTGCTCTTGATTGAGTAATCTGTCAGGTATTTAGCTGTATCTGTTAGATGTGATTTGAGTAGTTAGAGGAGCCTTTTTTTCTTTTTAGTTATAATCAAATTTATTATTTCACTGTTGAGGTGTACTAGTTAGTATTGTAATTCATAATAACAATAAAGTATATTCTTAGCCTTAAAGCTATAAAATTGTACAACTGACATAAAACAAGAGACAGAAGTCAACACTTTTATCTCAGACAAAACTAATCCTTTTTTACAACACTCTAATATCGTAAAATTTTGCCAACATTATAAGGATAGCCTATTCATTATGTCAATAATAATAATAATAATACAGGTATGTATTATGATGAGGGTAACTTTTGTTTGCTGCATAATTCCCTTATAAGATGTATTATTTGAGGAAGGGCAACATTTAACTTCAGTAGAATCTTGAGGTAATAGGAGCCTTTTTTTTTTTTTGTGACAGAGTCTCACTCTGTTGCCCCGGGTAGGTGCTGTGGTGTCACAGCTCACATCAACCCCAAATTCTTGGGCTCAAGGGATCCTTTTACCTCAGCCTCCCGAGTACCTGGGACTACAAGTGCCCACCACAATGCCTGGCGAGTTTTTTTACTTGTAGTAGAGATGGGGCTCGTACTCTTGCCCAGACTGGTTTTGCACTCCTGAGCTCAGGTGATCCACCCACCTCGGCCTCCTAGAATGCTAGAATTACAAGCGTGAGCCACCACGCCTGGCTCTGGAGCCTTTGTCACTTTCACTTCAATTTCAAAAGCTTCTCTTTTTAGTTACAAAAGTTATTCATGGCAAAATCACTAAGATGCCATGAACAGTAGTTTGTATAAAAATTATGCAAATAATTTTCTGTATGTGTATCTTGTTAAGGAATTGGCACTGGGAAGGTCTAATAAAATTTCAGAGCTGCTTATCATAAAAGAACTATCATGTGAATTCCTTTTCTTTCTGGATATTCTCAGTGATATTTTGACCCTCAGTATGCAGGGGGGCATTCATTCCCTAGATTTTTGAAGGGGTACAGATTATGATATTTCTTTCTGTTTAGCTGCTATGTTTTAACTTTTCTGACATCAAGATAAGTGAGGAAAAGTAAGTGGTGCCTCCCTAAGGGTTAGCTTCATCAATTTGCCTTTTTTCATGGATGGCTTTTTAGAGATTCAAGACACTCTTTGAGTACACACAACGTTTAGCTTGATTTCAAATAAGCTCCTGGTGTAAAATTTTGTGCCATTGTGGCCTTTTTCGTTCTTGCTGGGAATTACTGTTGATGTGATTACCTGATTCGGTGCTAAATGCCACGGTGTTGCTGACCGGACCTTCACCAAGAGGGTTTTTGGGTTTCACCTGGAATTCATAGCTGTGTAGGAGAAAATTAACAAAAAAATAATTGTAATTATGTTCTTGAGGGGTAGGAAGCAACATTCCCTTGTTATATTGACATCCCTCCTGATTCTCTTTGAAATAACGGTGCCAATAAATGATAATATACGTTCCAGAAGCAGGCTGGAGAAAGAAAAACACTTTCTTAAATTTTACTTTCTAGACAGCTTTTCTAATGTTTTATATACTCATGAAATTAATAAAAAAGATGGTTGCCTTTCAAAAATTCCAAATTAGTACAAGTAACTAAGCTCTTTGTAATGGACATACGGAAAAGATGTGTATGTGTATGTGGTGGTCCCAGGCTAATTCCAGCAACAAAGAGCCTCAAGTTTCCTCAAACATCTCAGCTACTTTTAGGACCCAAGAATTGGGTCCCAACCCTGAGTATAACTTTGACTTGGCCATCTTCCTCCTCATGGGGTTTGAACTCCCTATTTCAGAATCGTGATAAGGTGACAGTTTATTTAAAAAGTAGATTTCTTGCTGCACGATAGCTATTGAGTCAATTTTTGAGTGGATTTAGGTAGGAATCCTGTTTCTGGAACTTGAGTCATCTGTAGATCGCAGAAACCTGGGAAGTTTCCAGAAAAGGAAGTGTTGCCCTAAGAGCATGAACATAAATACTGAGATTTTTCTCTTTTTCTGTAAACCAGATTCATATTGGCTAAGCCTTAACATGTTACTTAAAAAAAATCCAGATCCTTTGGATTTGTAAGTACTTTGATTCTGTCCTTAAGAGTTATTGTGTAGTATTTGATAAATTTTATTTATAAGATACATACGGAGCAAATCCTTTCAAGAAATTCAGAGTAAAGCAAGTTGCCATTTGCCTGAAATTAAGCAGGCTTATCAATGAAAGTTGAATTTAAACCAATGTGAGTTAGCTGACAGTATGAGTCCCAGATTTGAACAAGGTTTTTGGAGGCTTTTGGAAGATTGATTTCCATCTTTGAGAAGTTTGTAATTAAGAGTGCAGAATACACAAAAGGTATTTTATAAATAGTTGTCAGTTTGGTACAAATGGTACCAAGTGTGCAAAAAAAGAAGTTTCCTGATCATTGAGGTGTTGCACTAAAACACTGCTAGAATCTTATGTAAGAGGGCAGGTTCTAGTGCCAACAATGGCAACCAGTTTTTGAGTGCTACATGTAAGATGCATTAGTCATTCTACCTGTATAAAGTAATATAACACACGCAAATGACTTAAGTATCATTCTAATTTTCAATTGAGAACAATGAGGCTTACAATCCTTGTAACATTACTGTCTTCGTGTTTCCAAACTTCAAGACTTTGTGAAATGGGAATTAATGTACTTCCCTCGTGGGATTTTTTTTTTTTTTTTGAGATAGTGTCTCACTTTGTCACCCTCAGTAGAGTGCTGTGGCATCGCAGCTCACAGCAACCTCAAACTCTTGAGCTTAAGCAAATCTCTTGCCTCAGCCTCCCAAATAGCTGGGACTATAGGTGCCTACCACAACACTGGCTGTTTTCAGAGATGGGGGCTCACTCTGGCTTAGGCTGGACTTGAACTGGTGAGCTCAGGCAATCCACTCGCCTCAGCCTCCTAGGGTGCTTGGATTATAGGTGTGAGCTGCTGCACCCGGCCCCTCATAGGATTTTTAATGGAAGTACACAAGAAAGCATTTTGTAAACTGAACTGATAAAAGGTGCCATTATCATTTATAATAACAGAGTGTCAATTTAAAATTGCCTGTGTCATTTAAATAAATGACACATACATAGAGTGTTTTCCCATGGAATATTTTCCAGAGATTAAATTCATGCTAAGAGGCCTAATGGCCTCAAAACAAAACAAAATCACCACCAACAAAAACAAATCAAAGCCCTTTCACAAAACTATGGTAAACTGAAAATGGAGGAAAGGAATTAGCAGCATCTGGACTTTGATTTAAGTGGGCGATGACTTTCACATTTCACATTCCAGGCCATTTCAAAAGCCCTGTGCTTTGGCCAAGTTTGATTGCTGGAATCATCTCCATGTCTTTTTAATTCATAGTTATTTACACGTGAGCCCCATTTTTAGCATGGCCACAGGCATTCAAAAGCTACTTTTTCTGGGTTGCCATTTTATGATTTGACATGTTTTGAAAAAATAATTTTACACTAAAAGTAATAGCATAGGAACTAAAAGATATACTTTGTTTTTGGCTGATTAAGCCCTATGGAAACAAAAAATACTTAAAAGATTTTTCCCAGAAAGCACATTTTGTCACAAGATGAATAATACCATAAGTCCAAGAGTAATGTTTCAGAGAAAACAGTGATTGTCCATAGAAGATAAGCCTCGGGTGCTTTCTAAAATTTTCAGAAAACAAAGTTCTCTGAAAATGAAAAAACATAAATAAAACTTCAATTAGGAGTTTGGAGAGACAGAGTTGAGAACATCTTACAAATACTAGAACAAAATGTCAAGTGAAAGATGAGACAAAATCAGAAAATCAGAGGATTATTCCAGAGAACACAGTACCCACTTAGTAGGAATTCTAGAAGGCAGAGCAGGGGGAAAGGAGGACAGAAAACTAGCCCAGAAATTGTGTGAGAAATTTTGAATTACCAGATTGAAAGAAAAAGTAGTAAAGTTTATGAATTGCAAAGTTATGGCATATTGGGGGATAAAGGCAAGTCCTAAGCACCTTTGAGCAGAAAATAATAGGTGCTATTCAAAGGATCTAGAATCAGAATGATATTTGACTTCTTAACAGTGACACTGAAAGAAGACTGTGGAACAATGGCTTCAAAAGTCCTCATTTTATCCAAAAATCTATAGCCAGCTAAACAATGGTATCAGAGTAAAGGACACTTTACAACATGTAAGGACCCAAAAACACTGTGTTCTGTAACGTTTTCCTCAAATGTATTTCTTAAGAAATGCCACAAAGTGAGGGAATAAATAAGGAAGAAGACCCGGGATGCAGGAATGAAGAGATTCTACAGAGGGAAAAGGAATTCCAGAAGCATTGTTGCCATTTAGGAAAATACAGTGAAGGAGGAGCTGCCCAGAGTCTTTGACCATTTCCAGAAATGGTCAGCCTAGAAATAGGGATTTAATTAACAGAAAAAATAGCTAAAATAATAATCTTTTAAAAATTGCCTCTGGTTAACCAATTTTAGGAATAGGGAGGAACTGCTTTCACGTATTTGAGTTTCAAAACTATATACATATTTCTGTTAAAATGGAAATGAAATTTAAAAAGCCAATTTATAAGACCATTGTATCAAAACTAATATCTGTTAAGCAGGGGACAGTCCAGGAGACAACTGTAGCCAAGCCTTTTGGCTCCATCTAGAACAAGATAAATAACACCCTTTGCTTCGGAATGTCATCCCTGGTTCCACCAGGGAGAGGTGCAATCCTAAGAAAAGCACCGCTGCCCACACAGCCCTTCCAGGAGGCAGCATGGTCTAGTGTTTGGGGACATGGTTCAGAACCAGAAAGATGTGATCACAATGTGTGATTTTAAGGTAAGCTGCCTAACCTCTTTGAGCTTCAATTCCTCATGTATAGGAAGCAAATATTATTCATGAGAATTCTGTATAATTATAACATCACAAGGATATAAAAGTGTTACGAGGTTTTCTTGAGGATTAAATAAGATGATGTGTAATAGCAAGGTGCCTGCCACATAATGATTATAAATATTCACTAGTATTATATCCCTATAGTTTTTTTTTTAAAGAATTTCTCTTATTGGGGAATTTGACAAATACTGCTATAAAACTCTCAAGGCAGAACCTTTCATGTCCAAATGCTCATTTTTTTTGATTTTGAAGTTTATAAATAAGGGCACAGACAAGGCATTATTGGGAGGATTGAAAATTTAATAAGTAAATCTTTCATCTTAGCTCCAGAGGTTAAGAAAAAAAAATTACATAAGATCTCATTGATGAGTTTAGGAAGCTCTAAAGGAGTGGCATAATGAATTTGAGGGTTGGCTAGTTCATGCCTGTAATTCTAGGAAGCTTAGCAGAGAAGATCACTTGAGGCCAGGAGTTTAAGACCAGCCTGGGCACACAGGGTGAGACTCTGTCACTCAATTAAAAATTAGCTGGGCATGGTAGAGCACTCCCGTAGTCCCAGCTACTCAGGAGGCTAAGGCAGGAGGCTCGCTTGAGTCAGAGCATGGGATCCTCTAACCTACCTGCAGGATCTGGCCTTGGACTGACTCTTCCACAGTGGGAGAGGTGGTAATAGCCCAAGGTTAACCTTTAGTTCTGGTTAGGGCTGCTGCTTCCTTCTGTCTTTCCCTTCCTGTTCTCTGTAACTTTTGCCCTCTGTTTCTGCCCACATTATAGAGGTGAATAAAAGTTTTCAATTTTGATTAACTTTCTAGTTACATACTCACTCCTGGTTAAAATAAGTGGTTTTCACCTTAACAGAAAACCCCGTACACCTCAAGCAAACTCCCTTTTTACACAGAAAGCCCACCTGGTAGCTGTAGGCTGGCTTTTATTTGGCTAGCTGACTTTACCCCTAGCGTAGTCTCAAAATCTTTGAGCCCCATTCAGGTGGCGTTTCAGTCAGACAGAAATGGAAAAGGGGAGCAAGAGGGAAATCTAATCACTCCGAGTAAGCTCCCCTCCAAGGATGCTGGAGGGTCAGGGTAAGCTTTTCTGGATACCTGCCACGTGTGACATCATTGTGCAGTTCAGGGAACATAAAGAAAAAAGCACGAAGGCAGAGCAGAAGGGACACAGGACAAACAAGCTTAAATCAGGGACAGAAACAAGAGCAGGGAGTCAGCAGGCACTGGGGACCATGAGTTAGCAGCCCGTGAAGTTCTCCGGAATGTTTCCTGTGTCCTTGATTTCCGTCCTGACACAGAAATTCTGGAGTCGGGCGGCACTTCTCATTCTGTAGTGCTGCTATGACCTTCTCCCGCTCCCTTCCCAGATAAAGGAACTCAAAGAAAAACTAATAGAAAGTCTGCAGTGATTCGGAGGAAGAAATGTTC